GGGGCGGGGAGAGGCTTTCTTGTGTATCAGTTAAAATTTATTTATGTGCCACTTCATTCACTTGTGATTTAAACAGTGTACACACATTTGAAGATTCATTATTTAAGTCTCCATTCTGACATTAAGTGGAAAGATTTACTGCATTGTAATTGGTTTTGTGTGTGTTTGGGGCTGTGGCCAACACTTATTCTGGGAGATTCATCGCCTAATATCTTTGGAAGTCACTTCTGAACATAAATTCAGAATTAACATTATTTCAGATTATTTAATGCAAATTCAGTTAAAAGCCAGATATAATACTATGAACTTCTGTTAGTTTGGAGCTCTAGCTGATAGAGCTGGAAAGGACCTTAGGGGTTATACAGACCAATCTCATTAATTATACAAATGCAAAAACCGGAGGTGAAGAGTGATTTGCCCAACAACACTGTGGTAGATGTGATAGATTCCAGAGATGACTACTGCCTACTCTTTGGAATCTGTGATATGTTAGATTAAATGGCCAAGGGGGATTAAGATTACAGATGGAATTAAGTTTGCTAATCACTAAATTTGACACTTAAAGGGGGAGATTATCCTGGATTATTTGGTTGGGCCCAGTGAAATCACAAGGGTCCGTATAAGTGGAAGGGGGAGGCAGAAGAGTGTGTCAGTGATGTGATGTGAAAAAGACTCAGCTGGCCGTTGCTAGCTTTGAAGGTGGAAAGGGGCCAAGAGCCAAGGAATGGAAAAGTCAAATTCTCCCTTGGAGCCTCCCGAAAGGAACACAGTCCTGCTGACACCTTAATTTTAGCCCAGTGAGAACTGTGATGGCTTTCTCACCTAAAACAAAAACAAAAAAAAACCTTGTAAGTAATAAATTTGTGTTGTTTTAAAACACTGTTGTAGCAGCAGTAGGGAACTAATGTCCTCACACGGTAAAACAAGAAGTCAGGTATCAACTCACAAATCAAGGCACTAAAAGAAACATTTAAAAATACATCTGCCAAAAGGGAATTGAAAACTCTAAGACGCTTGAAATTCCAGAAACTGGCAACCTCAGTTGGAAATAAATTATAAACAGTATCAGCTGTATGTCAGGCCCTGCAAACATAGCTACCCTGTGTGGACTTGCATCTTGACTATGCCTGTATGACTCCAGGGGGAGCCATTCCTGAAGACCCGGCTGTCCAAAAGAACTTTTCTGTATTGATGGAAATATTTTGTCTGCTATCCACTAGCCCCTTGTGGATATTGAGCATTTGGAATGTGATTAATGTGACTGCATTTTGAATATTTCATTTTCATTTATTTGAATAGCCACATGAGGCTGGTGGCTGCTTTATTGGATAGCACAGATGTAAATTATTCTTTGAGTAACCTAGAGTTGTGCATATAGTGGCGCTGGTGGAAATGCTTTCTAAGTTAAATACTGAAACCTAACTCAAACTGTGTGAAGCTAAAAAAAAAAAAAAAAAAGAAAAGGTTATGAGGATGCAGAGTGACCCACAGACACCAAAAACAGGAATGCACCTGGGCCCAGTAATAAGGGGTCTGGAACTCAAACGTTATCAAGACTCTTGCTCTTAGCCCTGCTGTCTGTTTTCTTTACCCAATTTTCTTTTCTAACCTAATTCATATTGTAATAGGCCACAGTCAGTAGTTACTAGATTTACATCTTAGTTGAAGAGCGTGGTTGGACCAAACAAGAATTATTCTAATTCTAAATTCCCAAGAGGAATTGTGGTCAAATTATGGTTTCTTTAGTAATAATGTAAGAGAGTTTCCATAAAAAAGAAGATGCAGACAAAATCCTTTGTCAAATACAGTCAAGATTTTTATCAGATCAAAATCAGGGGCGCCTGGGTGGCTCAGTGGTTAAGTGTCTGCCTTCAGCTCAGGTCATGATCCCAGGGTCCTGGGATTGAGCCTCGCATCAGGCTCCCTGCTAAGTGGGAAGCCTGTTTCTCCCTCTCCCACTCCCCTTGCTTGTGTTCCCTCTCTTGCTGTCTCTCTCTCTGTCAATTAAATAAATCTTTAAAAAAAATTTAAAAATAGGTAGACCTTTTTTCAGATTTAGTAGCTGTGAGGTAGTCATTTAGTCATTCATTCATTCATTCATTTTTAAGTAAGCTCTACCTCCAGTGTGAGGCTTGAACTCACAACCCTGAGATCAAAAGTTGCATGCTCTTCCGACGGAGCCAGCTAGGTGCCCCTAAATTATTTTAAGTTGCCATGGAAAAAACAGGCTATATAAACTCAGTTGCAAGTATAGGAAATAATAGGTTGAATTGTGTCCCCCAAAAGATATGTTGTAGTCCTAACCCTCAGTATCTCAGAATGTGACCTTATTTGGAAATACGGTAGTTGCAGATATAATTAGTTAAGATGAGCTCATACAGGCCTAGAGTGGATCCTTAATCTAATATGACTGGTATATTTATGAGAAGAGACACAGACACACAGAGAGATGACCGCCATGTAATGATAGAGGCAGAGATTGATTGGAGTGATGCATCCGCAAGCCAAGGATTACCAACAAACTCAGAAGCTGGAAAAGGCAAGGAAGGATTCTCCCCTACTAGTTTCAGAGCGGGTGTGGCCCAGCTGACACCTTGATTTCAGACTTCGAGTGCCCCGAACTGTGAGAATCTATTTCTGTTCTCCTAAGCTATCCAAATTTGTACAGATTATACCCTAAGGATTTAGTGTTAAGAAAAACAAAGCTGTGAGGCACCTGGATGGTTCCGTCGGTTAAGCGTCCCACTCTTAATTTCAGCTCAGGTAATGATCTCAGGGTCCTGGGATCCAGCCTTGCTTCGGGCTCCCTGCTCAGCGGGGGGTCTGCTGCTCCCTCTCCCTCTGCTCCTCCCCCCATTTGTGTCCTCTCTCTCTCTCAAATAAATAAAATCTTAAGAAAGAAAAAAGAAAAGCTTTTTCTAACTTCTGGTGGAGCCCAGGAAATCACTCAGTCTTTGAAAATTGCTTTTAATTTATAGCACTTAAGCCTTGAGTAAGTATGATTAATATTGCCAATAGAGGACCCTTACAATATGTTTTCAAGACTAATATCTTCTTTGTCAGCAATCACAATTAGGTGGGAGTCCATCTTAGGTAAGCCAAATTGTCCCTGACCCTTGATTCTTGTTTTCCCAACCAGACCAAGAAAAATGTCAAGGACATGCTCAAGGGCAGTATTATAAACAACGTGACCGACAGCTGGGAAATTATTGTCTGAGCTTCTCAGTCTTCTATAGCAAAGACCTATGCTAAAATTCTCTTGCATTTGGGAGAAACAGCTTGTGACAGAGTGAATTTGACAACTCAAGGGCATGTCTTCTCATGTCCTCATGGGAAATGTTTCATCAAGATGTGAAGAGTTGGCCATCAAAATGGAAAGCTACACATTCTACAGGAGCAGTAGAGTGGGTAGAAAATGCCCTCTGATCCAAGAGGCCTTGAGCTTGGGGCGCCTGGCTGGCTCAGTCAGTGGAGCATGAGGCTCTTGATTTCAGGACTGTGAGTTCGAGCCCCACGCTGGGCACAGAGCTTACGTGAAAAAAAAAAAAGAAAAAAGAAATGAGAGGCATCAAGCTTTTAACTAAGATGAATAGGACCTGGAGAATGGCACTATTTAACTCATGATTCTTACCTCTCCCAGCTGGCAGGGCCACATCCAACCTAGAGGACATGGTAGGCTCCCCACTAGATCATACCATCTGATAAGAGAGTGGAAAACAATGGATCCTGGCACACGTGATTTGAAAGGCAGCAGAATATGGCAAAAGGAGCCTTGAGCTCCAGCTGGGCTGGAAGTCAGAATCTAGCACTGCCTCCTCCAACTAGAGGAGCACATTTCATACCTAATGTGCTTTAGAGCTCACACCCAACTCTATAAAGGAATGGTCCACATTTTACTCAGACCAGTAAAACAGACTAGGTATCTAGCTCCCAAACTCATACTTTTTTTTTTTTTAAGATTTTTTAATTTATTTATTTGAGAGAGCACAAGCAGGGAGAGCAGCAGAGGGAGAGGGAGAAGCAGGCTCCCCGCTGAGCAAGGAGCCAATTCAGGGCTGGATCTCAGGACCCTGGGATCATGACCTGAGGCGAAGGCAGACTCTTAACCGACTGAGCCACCCAGGCACCCCCCAAACTCATATTTTTTTTTTTTAAGATTTTATTTATTTAACAGAGAGAGCACAAGCAGGAGAAGCGGCAGGCAGAGGGAGAAGCAGGCTCCAGGGAGCCCAATGTGGGGCTCAATCCCAAAACTCTGGGATCATGACCCCAGCCGAAGACAGACTCTTAACCAACTGAGTCACCCAGGCGTCCCAACCAAACTCATATTCTTTTTTTTTTTTAAGATTTTATTTATTTGTCAGAGAGAGCACAAGCAGGGGGAGCGGCAGGCAGAGAGAGAAACAGTCTCCCTGCTGAGCAGGGAGCCCTATGCGGGGCTCGATCCCAGGACAGTGGGATCATGACCTGAGTTGAAGGCAGACGCTTAACGACTGAGCCACCCAGGCGTCCCCCAACCAAACTCATATTCTTTTTTTTTTTTTTTAAAGATTTTATTTATTTATTTGACAGAGACAGAGACAGCGAGAGCAGGAACACAAGCAGGGGGAGTGGGAGAGGGAGAAGCAGGCTTCCTGCTGAGCCGGGAGCCCAATGTGGGACTTGATCCCAGCACCCTGGGATCATGACCTGAGCCGAAGGCAGTCGCTTAACCAACTGAGCCACCCAGGCGCCCCAAACTCATATTCTTAACTATAGTACTGTACTACCTCAGTTTTTCTCATATGTGATATAGGGATAATTAGCATTATCCAATATCCCTTGGGATTGTTAAGAAGCTAAAGTACAAAAATAGATGAGACAATACTTTGGGAAAAGCTTTTAAAGGCCTATACATGTGTGTTATTCTTGCATCATTTAAACCAATCGGTTTGCATTGTTAAAACTAGTTTGGTTTTCACCAAAGGCCTTAGATCACATTTATTATTAATACCTGATCAGAGATTTCTTTTCATCATTGGCCCCATTGATGGTGGGCTTGGTAGCTACCTCTGAGAAAAGATGTTGGTTCCATGTCTCATTTACCTGCAACTATAACATCTGTGTGATAGCAGAAATTTCATCTTATTCATTGGAGATTGCCTTGGAACAGTGCCTAACATAATAGATACTCGATAAATATTTGTGAAATAAATTATAACTAATCTCCAGCATCTAGCATGGTCCCTAGCATCTTGTAAGCCTTTTGACAGATACTTAACAGTTTAACTGATTGAGATTGGGTGGCTACTATGAAACCTGGAGGTGATCTGGAAGACCTCAGACTATATCCAGAACAAGAATAGAACTGGATTCTGAAAAGGAGCCTAGAACAGTGTCCTAAGAGCACCATCATTTACAAATATTTACTTGAAAAGAATCCTTTTTAGGGGCGCTTCTAACACATTGAATAACAGTATAATGCATGCATTATTCATTTAAATGCATTTACTGCCTTTGACTACTTCTTCTCCCTGGCAGCCAAGTAAAAATTCATCCCCAAGTATACCAGTGAACAAATGAGATATAGTGGAAGGTAGATTTGGTTTGATTTGTCCATTGGTCCTAGCTGCTAGCAGTTCATTAAACATTTTACACCCCAGGGAGATAGCTAATCTCTAGTTGCCAGAGGATGTATACTTGATGCTGGTCAAGGTAGTAACTGCACTAACCTGCATTTTGCTACTTTCAGGAATACCAACCTCTTGGTGGAGACCTAGCCCCTTCTTGCCCTGCTTGGAAATCTAAATTTGATTGCTCATTAACTACAGATTACCTACTTGCTCTCATTCAAGTGTTTAATCACTAGGGATAGCTAGCTACTCTGATACCAAAAAACCAGTTGTGGGGTGCCTAGGTGGTTCAGTCGGTTAAGCGTCTGCCTTCAGCCCAGGTCATGATCCCAGGGTCCTGGGATGGAGCCCCACATCAGGCCCCCTGCTCAGCAGGGAGCCCTGCTTCTCCCTCTCCCTCTGCCGCTCCCCTTACTTGTGCTCTCTCTCTGTGTCAAGTAAATAAATAAAATCTTAAAAAAAAACCCAAAACCAAACCAGTTGTCTTTGGGAGGGAAAAGCAGACTCCCCGCTCTAAGCAGAGGGCTCCATGTGGGGCTTGATTCCAGGACTCTGAGACCATGACCTGAGCCAAAGGCAGACGTTTAACGGACTGAGCCACCCAGGTGCCCCTCAAAAAACAAGTTCTGACCATTGACTTTGTATTCTTCAAGTGAGCATATGTTAAATATTACTAGAATTGGGCACAGAAGTAGAATCTCTGAGCAGTGTTTATTCACATAACAAATGTGTGAATGTGCCTGTAACATGCCAAGAGAACTTGAAACTAGAAGAACTATGATCATGTCCTTTATTTTTTAATTGATGACCATCAGTCCCTGGACATTCCTTCCCACCACCAAGCCATTTGCTAAAGGTAAAATTACTGTCTTCCTCAGAGGGTTGAAATGAGAATTAAAGGAGATAATATATGTGCAAGTGCTTTATAAACTATCAAGTGCCAAACACATATGAGGGATAATAATAGGAGGAAACGTGCCTTCCAAAATTAATCATTTAGAAAATGCTATAAGTATAAATTATTGGTTTCCATATTCAAATTATGACAAATTCTTGTAGCCACAATGAAGCAAGAAATTGAAATCTGGGGGAAGAAACTAATAATTCAGAATTTTTAGTTCATGTGGAAATACTAATTCCACAACCCATACAGGAATATACAGCATTTTAGGAGTTTATATTTAAAGTTTTTGTAACAGTGAATTGCCTAGAGATTCAACTATTCCTGGGGATTTTCTTATGATTCTGAACATCAGCCAGTGCACTGCTCCCCTCCTCATTCCACCTCCAGGAAACTTCCAGCTACCCCTTCCACTCTTAGGAAAACTAACGGGGAGTGTGACTTAAAATGGGTTCAGATTGCATCGGCATGATAAACCATGTCCGTCTTTTTCACGATGCGAATCCCTAAACATTTCCAGCCTATTCGGTGGAGTTCAACACAGTGGAACAGTACGAGGCAGGCAGGTGACGGTGATTTCTCGGTTCCCGATCCCTTTTCGGAGAAGGCGCCATCAGCTAGCTTCTCGGACTCCGGAGAAAGCAGCAAAGTCTGGAGATTGGGTTGGGGGAGGAAGAAGCGGGCGACCAACCCCTCCCCACCTCCCGGGGACATACGGGCGGGGCTGAGCGGGGGCCAGCGCTCCTCCCCGGGGCGGGGCTCGCGGCGGCTCCCCCCGCCCCGCAGCGCGCCCTAGGCTGCGG